AATTTTGTATTTTTAGTAGAGATGGGGTTTCTCCATGTTGGTCAGACTGCTCTCGAACTCCCGACCTCAGGTGATCCACCTGCCTCGGCCTCCCAAAGTGCTGGGATAACAGGTTTGAGCCACCATGCCCGGCCCCAGTGTTTCACACTCAACAAAAAAAGAAAATTAAATGCATCTGGTACTATTTATGTGCTCATATAACCCATTTTATGAATACTTCTATATATTTTTCACAGGCTTTTCCTCTCTAAGACCCTGGACCGAGAGGGCAAGGACAATACCTTTTCCTCTATCTCCATACAAGATCTAATTCTACCTGTTAAGTGGCAGTGGGAGAACAGGCTGTTTACCTGAGTAGAAGAGAAGCCCCCATATGCATTCCGTTGCTTGGCCAACCAAGCCACTATGCTAGTGGCCTTGGCTATCTCCTTTTGAGTCAGGCTGGGCTTGGTAAGCTGGGCCAACAATGCGTATGCTGTAAGTTCCACATCTAGAGCCACAGGCTCAGACCAAGGGCTGGCATTCGATGATGGAGTAGGTTTGTGGCTCCAGTGAATGGATTCTCCTATGGAAAAAGAAACATAACTAGGATGTCCTTAGAAGGAACTGGCTTTCCCACATTCACTTTGTAAATGCAGCATCTTAGAGCAGAGAAAATACCAACTGAGAATTAAACAGAGTAGAAAAAAATGTCTTAGATGTAGCTGATTCATTGACCTTGATGTAAATGCAAGAATGCATGTGTGCGCATGTGTGTAAAGCTAGAAGCATCAATAAATGTTCCTGCCCCCAGCAATTACATGAAAACCACTCTTGTTACTTTATCAGTTTTGATGTTAATGGAAATAGGTAAATAGAAGCTTCTTACAAGAATCTCTGTGTTTGGGGGCAATTTTTGTTTGCTTACAGTTTTATGAATTTTTCAGGATTTATTTTATTTAATCAAAGATTTAGGCTGGGCGTGGTGACTCACGCCTATAATCCCAGCACTTTGGGAGGCCAAGGTGGACGGATCACCTGAGGTCGGGAGTTCGAGACCAGCCTGACCAATATGGAGAAACCCCATCTCTACTAAAAATACAAAATTCACTGGGTGTGGTGGCGAATGCCTCTAATCCCAGCTACTCGGGAGGCTGAGGCAGAAAAATCGCTTGAACCCAGGAGGTGGAGGTTGCGGTGAGCAAAGATCGCCCCATTGCACTCCAGCCTGGGCAACAGGAGTGAAACTCCATCTAAAAAAACAAACAACAAACAAACCAGATTCAACATTTTAGGTAGAACAAAAATGGCAGAGCATATGTAAGAATTCTGAGAAACCATGAAGAAATGCTAATGAGGCCAACTATATGAAATATGCTTAGAAGGCAGTCCAGTGATGGCGGGCACCTGTAGTCCCAGCTACTCGGGAGGCTGAGGCAGAAGAATGGCGTGAACCCGGGAGGTGGAACTTGCAGTGAGCTGAGATCACGCCACTGCACTCCAGCTTGGGCGACAGAGCGAGACTCCGTCTCAAAAAAAAAAAAAAAAAAAAAAAAAAATATTTAAAGTAGTCCTACGTCAAAGAACTTTCAAAGATCTCCAAAAGGGTAATTCCACAATGACAATATACTTTCTGACTAGCTTCTTCAGTGTAGTTTCTCTTCACATTAGAAGTATAAAAATGTGGCCAGGCATGGTGGCTCATGCCTGTAATGCCACGGGCAGATCACCTGAGGTCAAGAATTCGAGTCCAGCCTGGTCAACATGGTGAAACCCCGTCTCTACTAAAAATACAAAAATCAGCTGGGCGTGATGGCGCATGCCTGTAATCCCAGCTACTCGGGAGGTGGAGGCAGGAGAATTGGTTGAACTGGGAGGCAGAGGTTGCAGTGAGCCGAGATCACACTATTGCAATCCAGCCTGGGCAACAAGAGAGAAACTCGGTCTCAGAAAAAGAAAAAAAAGTATAAAAATGCCCTCTGAGCACTTGCATGTGTTTCTCACAAACTTCCCAACAATAATTTTATGACTTAACAACTGTTACTAAAATGAATCCTAGAGTTCGTGTGCAGGACAGAGGATACTAAGGAGATTATAGATAACTCACAGCTTACGTTCACAATTTCAAACAACTCTTAACAGGACCAACATACCTGAGATGATAGCCTGTTGATCTAACTGTCTAAGGAGAATGTCTCTGATGTCCATTTCCCCAGCCAGGGAGAAAATGTAAGCCAACAGGGCCTGTGTGTAGAGGCTGGTGGTGGAGGTGGCCGAATTCTTGAGACACTGTAGACCCTGGCTCACCATTGGGTCCTAAAAAGTGAAGAAGAAGACCATAACTTTTAAGGCATTCCTTAAAAAATGGGAAGTAATCAGGGAATCATCTTATCCTTCTTGACCTTAAAAGGGTGACTAGGGACAAAGATGGGTCAATGTCTCTAGGAATAGGCATGAGAAGGAGGGTATCAAGAGGAGGAGCCAGGAGAACTTACATCTACATCCTTTCCCATCTCCAGCAATGCAGCTGTAACATATGCAGTCAAGGAGACCTCATCATCAACACCACCCTAGAGGCAAACAGGGAGACAGTGAGTCAGGGCAGCAGACAGCAGCTGCAAGAATTATGTGCAGATTGCAAAACGACATCCCCTCTGAACAGATGAATTATTTTTAAAAAGAAAAAAGTAATAAAGAAAGCTCTTCTTTCCACAGGCTTTCTGCAGCTCAAGCCTCCATGACACACAAAGAGGGAACAGGCTGGACTTCAGTAACTGCAGAGCCTTAAACAGCCTGCAGGAGGCAGCACGTGGACTTCAGCTGAGTGGGTGTTGAAGAAACCACAGAGGAGTTAAGAAGCATAAGAGGTTTAAAGAAGGGAGGAATAAGGAGAGAATCTGCCGCATCACTGCATCTGAGCCTCCTCACATGCAGCTCCCGTCAAGCAGGACAACGCCCAGCCCTTCTCCAGGGGAGATTAGGTGAGACCTTCCCTGCTTATTGCCTTTCCCAGAAATATCAAAGCAAATTTTAAAAAATATCAAATCAAATTATTATCCTCATTCTATAGATAAGAAAACAAACACTTAACAAGATTAAATAGCTTGTGGCCAGGCATGGTGGCTTATGCCTATTATCCCAGCTTGAAGCCAAGGCAGTGGGGAGGATCCCTTGAGCTCAGGAGTTTGAGGCCAACCTGGGCAACACGGTAAAACCCCATCTCTACAAAATGTACAAAAATTAGCCAGGTGTGGTGGCATGCGGATCCGTGGTCCCAGCTATTCAGGAAACTAAAGTAGGAGGATCATCTGAGCCTGGGGAGGTCAAGGCTGCAGTGAGCCATGATCATGCCACTGCACTTCAGCCTGGGTGACAGAGTGAGGGTGATTCCGTGTCTGCAAAAACAATAAATAAAGTATAAAATCAAAAAAGATTCGCTCAAGAGCGCGGTGCGGTGGCTCCACATCTGTAATACACACGCCTCCCCTTGGGAGGCTGGGCGGGCAGATTACCTGAGATTCAAGGGACGTTTCAGACCCAGCTCGGCCAACACCGGTGAAACACCCATCTTCTACTAAAAAATACAAAAATTAGCCTGCAGCCATGGTACACCCATCAGCCTGTAATCCCAACTCAGCTCAGGACGAGTGGGCAGGAGAATTGCTTGAAAGCCTGGGAGACAGCAGGTTGCCGTGAAGCCGAATTTGCTCCACCTGCACTGCT